CTTATTTTTACTGGTGGCTATATAAGTAGTTACAAGTCAGTTGTCCCGGTGCAAGGGCAGAACTGGGTCTCAGGTCCGCCCGAACGATCGTTTACTATCTAGTAGACGTATTGTTGTGGGAACATCCTAACTACGTTTGTAGCTAGAGTTCACGTGGGATTTCCAACACCACAACACATATATCTTGTCCTCCAAAGAAAACTAAAATCAAAAACCGAAAAATCGAAGCCCTGACTGGTTGGATTTTAATATAAATCGTGTCCTCCAAAGAAGAATTAAATTAAAAACCGAAAAATCCAAATCGATTCTGATCAAATTAGATGCCATAATATTATTAGCACCTCTAATTTGATCAGAATCGATTTAGTACTATCAATAGTACTACTATCTTACTTCCGATCCGATTGCGCTCTCGAGCGCCGTGTCATATTGCTGTCATTCGACAATTCTCCATGGCTGAAAGTTTCACCGTTCAAGACCACTTCGTGGAGCTGGGATACACCATCGATGATTCCACCAAGGGCCCGATATCCCACCAATGCCGCGGGTGCGGAAAAAAGTATCGCCTGATCGACATTTTTCGTAAGAAAAAAAACAAGCCTCAGCAAGTCAAGGGCGAGGAAGCACTACAAGGTATGCAAGGGCAAGAAAACGTCGAAGGTCAAGGAACCCTTTAAGTCCAAGAACCCGCGTTTCCAGGACCATACATTTTCTTCGAAAGCGAAGTGTGTGACGAATTAATGAGGGTAGCCTAGTTTTATTAAAAACGATAATAAAACAACTACATCCTTGACAACACCCGATGGCAGCCGTTGCCAAGCCATAAGGGTTTAGGGTTTAGTATAGAGGTTCCTACAAAAAAAACTAGCCTAACAAGTGCATTTGAAATTTCGCACACATATGTCAAAAGATATAAATATTCTGCTCACAAAGTTTTAATCCAACGGGCACCGGCAAGTATACAAAAACTAAGAAATACCGATACAGCAAAAACAAGCATATTAACATATGATTTTCTCAACGGATATGAAATCAGCGGTGTCGGTTTAGGGGGGCTATGTCACGGTCGTAGGCCTCTAAAAGGGGCAGAACAGTCTTAAACTGAGCAATGTATTAAACTCATTTTAAGTACGAATTTTTCTTCATCTTAGATACAATTTTTCCTATATTTTAAGTATAATTTTATCTTTATTCAAAGCACGAATGGTCTTATCTGAAGTACGATTTTTTCATATAAGTACGAATATTATTTATCCTAAGTACGAATTTATCTTCATCTTAAGTACAAATTTTTTTTAACAACTATTTTTAATTATCCTAAAAACAATTTTCTATAGATTAAGCACGATTGATCTTTATTTTAAGTACGAAAATTTTTAATCTTAAATACGAAGTTTTCTTTATCTTAAGTACTAGTTTTTCTTTATCTTAAGTATCTTTTTTTCTTCATTTTAAGTACGAAAGTATTTTATTCTTAAGTTTAAATGTTTCTTCATTTAAAGTACGAATTATAGTTCCAGTGGTATTAAAACATGATATATATTAATACGTTCACAGCTTTGATTTTTCGGGTTTTGTTTTTATTGTTTTTTATAGGACATGATTTAATAATATATATCTTGTCCTCCAAAGAAAATTAAAATCAAAAACCGAAAAATCGAAGCCCTGACTGGTTGGATTTTAATATAAATCGTGTCCTCCAAAGAAGAACTAAATCAAAAACCGAAAAATCCAAATCGATTCTGATCAAATTAGATGCCATAATATTATTAGCACCTCTAATTTGATCAGAATCGATTTAGTACTATCAATAGTACTACTATCTTACTTCCGATTGCGCTCTCGAGCGCCGTGTCATATTGCTGTCATTCGACAATTCTCCATGGCTGAAAGTTTCACCGTTCAAGACCACTTCGTGGAGCTGGGATACACCATCGATGATTCCACCAAGGGCCCGATATCCCACCAATGCCGCGGGTGCGGAAAAAAGTATCGCCTGATCGACATTTTTCGTAAGAAAAAATAACAAGCCTCAGCAAGTCGAGGGCGAGGAAGCACTACAAGGTGTGCAAGGGCAAGAAAACGTCGAAGGTCAAGGAGCCCTTTAAGTCCAAGAACCCGCGTTTCCAGGACCATACATTTTCTTCGAAAGCGAAGTGTGTGACGAATTAATGAGGGTAGCCTAGTTTTATTAAAAACGATAATAAAACAACCACATCCTTGACAACACCCGATGGCAGCCGTTGCCAAGCCATAAGGGTTTAGGGTTAAGGGTTCAGTATAGAGGTTCCTGAAAAAAAAAACTAGCCTAACAAGTGCACCTGAAATTCAGCACACATATGTCAAAAGATATAAATATTCTGCTAACAATGTTTTAAATCCAACGGGCACCGGCAAGTATACAAAAACCAAGAAACACCGATACAGCAAAAACAAGCATTTTAACATATGATTTTCTCAACGGATATAAAAACAGCGGTGTCGGTTAAGGGGGGCTATGCCACGGTCCGATGTCTAAAAAAGGGGCAGAACAGTCTTAAACTATGCAATGTATTAAACTCATTTTAAATACGAATTTATCTTTATCTTAGATACGATTTTCCCCAGTTTTTTAGAACGATTTTTCTTCATCCTCAGTACGAATGGTCTTAATCTTAAGTACGATTTTTTTAATATATGTACGAACAATATATACCCTAAGTACGAATTAATCTTCGTCCTAAGTAAGATTTTTCTTTATCTTAATAACGAATTTGTCTTCATCTTAAGTGGTTTTTTTTTTATCCTAATTACGAAAGTTTTTTCTGAAGTACGATTTATTTTCATCTTAAGTACGAAAGTTTTTTAATCTTAAGATCAAATTTTTCTTTATCTTAAGTTCGATTTTTTCATCTTAAGTACGAATTATAGTACCAGTGGTATTAAAACATGTAATATATAAATACGTTCGCAGCTTTGATTTTTTTGGGTTTGATTTTATTCTTCGTTATTGGAGCTCTACCAAAACCTACACAAACCGATTTTTGCGTCTGACATAGCTGTGACGTATTCGTTGTCACAAATCGGTAGTAAAATGTTAAGACGTTGTTCTTGTCTCCACAAAATGTGTCGACGCAAAATCGTTGTACCTCATTTCTGGTACAGCTATCAGTGTCCAGTCAGTCATGCCCACTTCTAAATACTCCTGCCATGAGCCGCCGCAATGCTGGAAGAGGACGGGGCTTCACTACGCCTCAAGTTGAGCGTACGTACCATAATACATCACAAACAGGATCTCACGAATACATTTAGCGTTGCTTTTACTATTGCTGGCCTCTTATCTCTCGTTGAGCAGTTCCACGATCTCGACTAGCATACAACGTGTACCAGGGAGACTTAGCAGGATCAATGTGTCAGAACATTGCGATCAAAAGCATACATACAACGCAGCCGTAGAAGCAACAACACCTGCTTCTTTAAACGCGCATTCCGGTGCTCGCACGCTAGCACAAGTCACTGGGCCCTAGCCATCAAAAAGGTGAATGGCCCGCGTACATGTACCCATAACGTTAAAAGTGTTGATTTTGGTATGATAGCAGACATATCACAAATTCGACATATATTTCAACACATTTCACTTTCAAATTTGTGTCTGTGATTGCATTTGTGTAGGTTTTGGAAGAGTTCCATTGGACATGATTTAATAATATATGTGGTGTAGTGATTTCTCCGTAGTTGCGGATTATCACCCGTCGACAAAGACGTGACACCGCCCAAGATGTTCAAGCGACGAATTCTCGGTCAGGTGATGTACGGAGACGCCAAGGTGCCAGCGACTCGACGGCGTCACTCCCGAGCTTTCAACGAAGCATTGGATACGGCCATATGTCACTGAATCCAGGCTGTCCTTATTATTAATAATGGACTGGCCGGATTCGCATTCAGCGGACCATCTACGGTACGAACCCTCAGTGGCTGTTGGGATGAGTTCGCGGAAGACTCAGCGACCATTACAAGACACGTTCACCGTCTGGGACAGGGCGCGGACCGTTAAAGATGCTCATGCGACGGTGCAGACGACGCTTGGCATGCAAGAAGATCCATAACGGATCATTGTTCACGTGATATTTGTATACTTGATTAGGACTTCTTATTACGAATAGACCCGAAAGGGTAAGCTTAAATACAGAACAGAATTTCTACTCAAGCACACAGCGACGTCCGGCTTCAAGGTAAGCGTCTGGTCAAGCTTGTTTGAGTGTGTTATGCCTGTCGGTGAGCTCGAAGCTCTGTAGCGAGGGTTCACCCGGCAAGGCCAAGAGACTTGTGTATTGGCCGATTATTATCGGGAGGTTTTACGTGACGGCTTATTGTTGCCTATTTGCACGACTGGGAGTGCTTTAATTGCCTCCCTTTTATTCTTCCAACCGAGTGTTGAACACTCGGTGATCTCGTAAAAGGCTTACCCGTGCCTGGTACCCTTTCGCTGTTGGGACCACGAGGATTCAAAACACCTGCTAGTTTTGCTCGTGCTAGTAGCGTGTTCTTATTTTTACTGGTTGGCCTATATAAGTAGTTTACAAAGTCCAGTTTGTCCCGGTGCAAGGGCAGAACTGGGGTCTTCAGGTCCGCCCGAACGATCGTTTACTATCCTAGTAGACGTATTGTTGTGGGAACATCCTAACTACGTTTGTAGCTAGAGTTCACGTGGGATTTCCAACACCACAACTGGTGCCGCGACCCGGGATCAGATTGTGACCATTGTGAACTGTTTGTATGGCCTTCCAGTTTACGAGCAACCAAGAGAAGAAGAACAAGAAAAAGACAAGAAACATGGCGAAAGGACAACCGACGGTACCAGTTACGCCTGCCAAGTCTGGCGGGGCTCGCAACGAGAGTTCAAGCCCGGCTGCGCGCTTTGCAGCCGCCACCGAGCTTTCAGTGAGCTTCGACGACGAAGCGGACAGCGGTCCTGACGCCCACGATTATGAAGATTACGAAGACAAGACGCCGGCCCCAGAGCCAGGCGCAGCGACGCCGGAGACGGCCACGCTATCATCGGGGCTGAGCGGGGCGACCAGGTCCCTTTCGAGGAACCTCGCCGACGAGCTCGATGATGTTGCGGGACCGGAACCCGCCTATGAAGATTATGACGATGGGACCGAGGGTTCTAAACCTTCGGTGGCGAGTGCAAAGCATTCAGCCCTGCTGAAGGCACCTCGCCCACCTATCAACGGTGATACACCAGCCGCCAAGCGCGTTTTCGACCGCGTACAAGCACTGATGCAGATCGATGAGTGGATGCAGCTGTTCAAGCCCATCCCCAAGAAAAAAGCCGACTGTCCTGCGCTTGCGCAGGAACTTCAATACCCAGTCAACTCGGTTTCGACTAGCAAGTTGCCGAGGATTCAGTTTCGCTACTGTTGTCGCTGGCCTTCGAGAACGAGACGTACCCATCAACGATGTCGCTCCAAGATTGGAGTCCACATGAAGCCGGAGCTGCTCTCCAGAAATGAAAGAAGAATCTTCGGAAGGCGTTTGGCGCTGTTGGCATTAACGCTGGAAAGCAGCCGGTGAGTCGACAGATGATTCAAGATGAAGATCCGGCCATGATTCCACTGCCACCGACACCCCAACGACTCGTTCGTACTCCTCCGACCAGGCGTGGAGCTGAGCGTGGTGCCTTTGGCACTACTGAAGCTTCACCGTACTTTCAAGGCTCGCACATGGTTACGCCACGTTTGGAGAGCCGTATGCAACGTATTTACGCTGGTGACGAGGGTTCGTTCGGTCGTCGAGGCGGTGCGCGAGCTCCCAAAGGTGGTGCCAGACGTCGTCAAGTCGATAGCGATGGTTCGTCCAGTGATGATGACATTTTGGTGCGAACATTCGACGAGGAAGATCCTCAACTCGAGTTGATGCGTCAGATGAATGAGCTAGCGACGCTGGACAACGTGGACCCGACACCGAGGATTGAAATGGCTTCGCACCGACCGCTGGATCGCATCACGCCGTTCTCAGGCTCTCGCAACAAGAGCGAGAACTGTATGCAGTGGATCCGTGGGTTCGTCTATGAAATGACTGGAGCCCACACAGATGCCGATAAATGGTGCATTCCATTTGAGCTAAGTCTCCGGGACGGAGCCATTCATTGGTTCCGTCAACTCCCGAAGAAGACGAAGCGCAAGTGGAAGCTGCTGAGCGATGCGTTCATCCGCTACTACTGCTCGCAGTTCACTCAGACGGCACTGTCGCGTTACTACTCCGCCAAGCGAGAACGTAATGAACATCTGTGCGACTACATAAACAGGCTGAATGGCTACGCTCGGACCGCCCGTCTACACTTTGAGAAGAGTGGTCGCGACGCGAAAGAACACGTACAGCAGTTCCTGGCAACATGCGACGATGACAAGCTGGCGGAGAGTCTCTACCACGCTCGAGTCGCCGACATTCACGAGCTCGAAAAGATCATCGAAGGTGTTCTCAAGGGCAAGGAGAGGATGGTCAAGTGTGACAGTGAGTACCGATACTCCAAGAGTCGTGACGCGCGACGTGACGATGGATACGCCCGCAACAACCGGCGTGATGACCGTCGCCGCGATGACAACCGAAACAAACCAAGAGTGACGCTCATTGAAGCCACGGTGGATGACCTACTAGCTGAATTAGAAGGTCGTGAAGCTGCTAAGGGAGGCACCGAGTATTCAAACGAAGATCCGAACGCTTACGACGATGTCCAAGATGAGTACAACGACTTTCAGCCTGATAATACGGATGGTGATTTCTCATTGGATGAAAACGACCGATACCTCGCCGCAGCTAACGAAAATGAGGACCGTGCAGCTGCTGAAGGCACCTACGCACGTTCAGACAACCGTCAACCGCGTGGAAACGCGCCTGATCGTGAGAATGGCTTCAATCAAGATCGCCGAAGCGGTGACCGTGGGTTCAATCAGGACCAACGCGGTCGACGTGACTTCAACCGCGACAACCGACGCCCACAGTACGGACCATGCGCGGTGTGCGGTGGCATGAGTCACTCCGCCCACTACTGTAACAAGCGATGCAAGTTCTGCAAACAACTCCACGATGCTGGACAATGCGAGCTTTTCCGCAACTTCCAAGACCTTGCCAAATTCGTGCGAACTAAAGGCACGAAGGAGGAACTCCCGCCAGAGCTCAAGGCCGTCGTT